TCACACGTTATTTAGTAATACAGCGTTGTTAAAAGTTGTACAATGTCACGTACATTGTACAATTGTGTAAGAAATATCGTTGATGTTAATTTTATGTGGTTTGCTGGTTGTTATACGGAAGGAAATCACAATAAAGAAAGGCGCTAAATCGGTCAAATCCGAAGTGCGTCTAATGTCAACACTGAAGTAAATTGCATAATGTAAGTAGTAAGTAATGCATGGTTACTAATAAGTGCGCGATCAGCGCGTTTGTATGAATCGCATGAATACAGTCTTATTTTAAAGGACCTTACAATAATGTCGAGTTAACTTGTACATACACTAAAGAATGCTGCAAATGCTGAATTCCTTAGAAATGCTTAGTTCTTTAGATAAAGGATCAATATCAATACGAACATAGTTGACGTTTAAAATCAATATCTGTCTCTGGTGATTTATTAATCCGACTCAGGTTCTTGTCGATACTTTCAACCTTTTTCGTTGCAAGAAGAATGCAGAATCATGTTCATAATGACGATGACCTAAAGTGGATATGAGATAAATGTATCAACTCTAAATCTCAGCTTATGCATTAAGTATAAGCGTGTGAAATAAAACTTCTAGGTGCATATACTTTATTTGCTTACGCATGTATTATGCGTAATTCTGCTGAAATCTCATTATCCTTCGCCTAAATTTTGGTTTCTTGTCATAAGCAACAAAATAAAAGTTTGCCATACTTCAAATGCGACACGTAACGACTATTATGTTATGATATGAACGGCTAATGACCGTAATTGTGGCATCTAGTGTCTAGCTGATATATTCCTGTAGTTTAGCCTGTATCCTGATTATACCATACTTCACTAGACCAGAGTAAGTGGTTACACTAAAGGGCAAATCCTTCAAATTGCTATCATGATAAGATAACATAGATACTGTTTTCAGTCATGCCCTTCACCAACCCCCATGGGGTTCAGGAGTGACTTCAATAGCATATGTCTCAAGGTAGGGTAGAGTGTTCTTACTCGAAGCATGCACGAGTGCACTCCAAGTGCACTACCCTATGACATCCTACTTGTTTTCTTCATAATTATAACTTAATACTTTCAAGTGAAACCTTGCTAAAAGCAACTATCTTTAAAAAATATCAATTCCCACTAATATTTACAATTGTGTAGCTGTTGTAAGAACTTAATGAACAAGGTTGCATAAAGTATTTTAATGATAAAACAAATGTGTTCTTTCCTTTACACTATATCAATTGCTAACTGTTTCAAATTTTATATATTGTAATAGTACCTATTACATATCTTTATAACCTATAATAAATAAGAGTACATTCATGAAATATAAAATATTTATATTACTTATTTAAAGCTCATAATTTTTTCCTCTTTCTCTTAATAAAATAGGTCATTTTATTATTTTTCTGTCTTTCACATTGGTGATTGCTCCACCAGGCGATAACAAACAGGTCTCATGTTTTGTTTTATGTTTCGAATAGCGGTACAGTTGTTTAATGACAGCGTTTTACCTATCAATAAAACGCTTATTAAATAACTTACCCTATTCGAAACATAAAAGTTTCTCAACTGCCTGGTGATTAATTAAAAAGAAAATGTATGCAAACATACATTTCTTTTTATAAACATGAGATCCAATGAAGGCAAGAGCGCTGCGCGCCTGCCTCGTGTCGCAATCGGAGGGGATGCGAGAAAGAGATGTCGCGTGCTAGAAAGGGACAGATATAGCCGCTACCGACCGTCCTAAAGGGAACCACATACGCCTCTCTCATGTTTTGTTTTATGTTTCGAATAGGGTAAGTTATTTAATAAGCGTTTTATTGATAGGTAAAACGCTGTCATTTTAGCAAAATTAAATTTTCCTCAGCAAAAGCAAAACAACCCCCAGCAATCCTCTTCAACCTGTTTGTATGAAGGTTGTATGGGCGGCGAAAGTAGCTCTACGATAAAGGCGTTTTTCTTAAAAAACATATTTTACAGAGTGCTACAAGTGGTATTTGAATAGTAACGGCATTTGTGGTTAACAAGAATCAATGGCCGCCTTAATTGTACTAAAATGGGACACTCCACAGTTTAGGAAATTCCGCAGCGATTCCGCAGCGTCCCATATGGGACCCTCCACAGACAGGGAAATTGTGACAGCGTCCCATATGGGACTCGCCACAGACGAGGGGCTACACAGTCATATAATTTTTTTAATGCAAACAATACTTTTTACAACAACCGGCCAAGAGCGTGTCAGACACGCCCACAAATAGGGTTTCGTAGTCAACGTTTAAATATCAGGTATTTCAGCATTACAAACTTAATTTGTTGCTGGTTTGTTAGCAGTATGATGACCAACCGCAAATAGAAAAACTCAATTTTTTCTGAAACCTTTAAGGATACAATATCCGTTATAGTTTTCATTGTAACTTCAGATTGTAAGCTATATTCCATATTAATTTCAATTTTTTAGCTTTTATACTTTAGAAGTTACAGCTGGAACAAATTATGGGTCAAAAACGCCCTTTTTAAAAGTAAATATCTCGTGACAGAAACATTTTAGTGACTTTGTTTCAAAGAAACCTCATCTTAGTTTTAAAAGACCTATTCAACGATATCCTACTCAATATTACAGAAGAAAAAAAATTTTTTTGCCCCCCTTTCACTTGTATGGGAGGGGGTCCAAAAAACATATAAAATAATTTTTTCTTAACATTTCTATATTTGGGTCAACACGATCTATCTTCTCACCAAATTTCATGTCGATAGCTCTAAAACTGACGAAGATATGAGGGCGCGGCATACAGACAGACAGACAGACAGACAGACATGACGAAACTATAAGGGTTTCTAGTAGACTACGAAACCCTAAAAATGACGTCTTACGATTCCAATTTAAGAGTTACTTTAGAGCCGATTGCCTGATTGTCCGAAAATACATATGGTTTAGTGTTTCGGAGGGCACGTTAAGCCGCCGCCGGTCTCGATTATTATATTATTTAGACGGCGGCCTTTACATCAGTGTCTGAATATGTCCGACTGTAGCAAAATCCTTACCCTTAGCGTTCTTCCAATGACTAACACAAGGCGGAACCTTCCAGTCCCGCTGTTGTTTCACAGAGACGCGTCGGGGCGGCGAGTGCAGTACAGGCGCGGGGGGGGAGATCTATTCTAATGCCTCTTATAGTACGTAGGTTCTAATTCACCATTTTTGAAAACTGACAAAATCATGTTAATGCTATGATTATAAGGTCTATTTTTCTGTGTTCATATGGGTTATAGTATGGGTTTGACAGTTGTCAAATATGGCCTATTCGAACAATCGTAATGTAATAAAACAGTAAACTATATTCCTTACCCTTAGCGTTCTTCCAGTGGCTAACACAAGGCGGAACCTTCCAGTCCCGCTGTTGTTTCACAGACACTCTCCGGGGCGGCGAGTGCAGCACAGGCGCGGGGGGGGAGGGCGCGGCGCGCGGGATCTTCTTGTTGATCTGGAAGCGCGGCGGCTCCATCGGGTCGCTTTGGGCTTCTACCATTCTGTAAAGAAAAAATATTTGATTAAAGACTGTCATGTTGCCGTGTGGTAGCGGTTAAAGCCAGGTATTCATTGGGGACAAAATCCCAGATAAATTGTATATCAACAACTTCACGCGTGTGTCACGCAATTCGCGGCAACTTCATGTGCGTCTCTGGGGACTTGTTTTTGGGACATTTTGGCAGCAACTGACAAGTGTGGACGGTATTTGTTTCCGATACTTTGTATTTGGCACTTTGTATCTGGCCATTTCGTGGGAACATTAGTGTTGTGTTTTATACAAAGTTCCTGGGATTTTGTCCCCAATGAATACCAGCCTTAAAATACTCAGGGTGTTGCGTACAAGCCGCCGTAAAGTTTTTGACCTCAGCTGAATATCTGTCGACTATGATCAACCGCATGGTGGTGGTGATACCACCTAGAGAGGGCTGACGTCAGGCAGGCGGCCGCGATTAAAACATTGCCAAATCCTTTTGCTTCATGACGAAGCATATGTAAGTGCATAGCCATTTAGTATAATGGTATACTGCATTGTCTAATGTCTCTATCTATGTATTGTATCATCATTTCAATCAATGGATTAATACCTTATTTGATCAGTAATAAAATAAATGAGCTCTGCCACTAAACACTTGTTTCTCTTAAACTTACCCACTTCAATGATTTTGTGTTTTGCCAAATTATGTTGCACCGACCCCAACTGATTTGGGGTAAGGGTTGAAAGTTGATGATGACAAAATAATTCTTATCCCTTACCTTATGACCCTCTGCTTGGCTCCAGAGTTGAATGCCCCACTCTGCTGCGCCGGGGTGTAGCGAATGTACTGTGCGGGGGCCTGCGGATATCGGGTACTATCAGAGACATGGTAGTGATGAGTTCTCTGCTTTATATGGCAGAGATTGGGCCAATATTAGTAAAATTTCACCTAGTATGGCAGAGAGGGTGGATATTATACAGTAGAAAGAATAGTAAGTAGTACTACTATATAAGACGCTGCGCTGCGGCGGGGTATGGCAGGGTCCTGTGGGTATGGAGTACTTTTATAGACATAAGTAGTCTCTTCTCCGCTTTTACATGTAACTGAGAGTGGGCAGATATTATGTCTGATTGGCTGGCATAGAATAACTTCATCACATTTTTAGCAGTCTGTGTAAAGGCGACTAAGGAATAAATCAGAGCATGGGTAAAAGTAAAAGGATTTCCCCATAACATTAAGTTTAGCCCCAGAGTTGAATGCACGGCTCTGCTGCGCCGGGGTGTAGCGGATGTACTGCACGGGGGACTGCGGATCTCAGGTACTATCAGAGACATGGTAGTGATGAGTTCTCTGCTTTATATGCAAAGGATCTGCCCTTATGGCTAGGCTAGGACTAAGGCAAGAATTAGTTGCAAAGCTGTCCAGGTAGATGGAGCCCTTCCACCCATTATTGGACAAGATACACTAATTGCTAAATTCGCAGGCTACAAATGAGCTGCTGTAGCCCAGATGGTAGAGGCGTCACCAGTACAAGGCGACGGTCGCTGGTTCAAATCCAGCCTGCTGTGGCCAGGCTTTCAGCAGAGGGTGAGCAGATATAATACAGGTAATAAAAATATTTTCTGCATATATTTTAAGGGATGAACCAGTTTGTGATGAACAACTTTCCCCAAAGAATATCAAGTCTCAATATAAAAAAATTAAGGAAATCAAAATGTACCAAGCAATTTCAATTCATGGCAGACAGAGAAACGCTAAAAGCGACTTAAATTTATGCTATGTATTGAAAGGTCTTGAAAAATCCAACTCACAGCTTTAGGAGCGGCTTTGACAGGCATAGCTGCAGATATCTTAGCGTTGGTCAGTTTCTCCAAGGCCAGTTTGGTCTTCTCAGTGATGTCCTGAATGTCATCCTCAGTTGGCTTCTGGAGTGAAGGGTCATCTTCAGCTAGCACTTCCGAAGGTAGCAGGTCGGTGAGTTTGGAGTAGATTATCTGAAAGAAAACAGAATCAGAGTTATTAACTTTTTGTTACAAAGTTAAGAATCAGAGTTAGGTATAAAGGAGCAGAGCAGTCTTAGTTTTTTCATGGGGATATTGTGTTTTCTTTGTCTTTATTAATTAAATAATGTTGAAAGAATTATCAAAAATTAGACATATTGCAAAGCACTATTTTAATTTCTATTAAAGTTATTATCTGGTAATCATTATAATCTTTTCCAGTACCTACTAAGAGGTTCTTTATGTTAGTCCAAAGATATTTCTTTTTCATTATACTTCACATTTCCGAAACAACACATAGGTTTTTGTTTTTGAAAAGAAATAACATAATAAGATGAACCTTATCAGCGGAGTGTCCCTGTCGAGCGATGGCGGAGTACTTCACACGACCAGACTCATCGAGCTGCACTGCTAAGGCATTTGACGTGCTTTCCTTGCCCCGGGCACCCATGCCCAGAGGATACTGTGCCACATGGATCTCCGGGAAGGCTCCTCCATCTGTTTAGAGAAAAAGTTATAATATGTTTAATTTATTGAGATATGAGGTCAAGTTCAAAAAGAGATATGGTCCACAGTCACTTTTACTGTGGACCATATCTCTTTGGAAGATTTAAGTTAAGGAGTCCAGATTATAATACCAAATGTTGTTAGATGAAATGTAGTGAAAGGTATTCCACACAGAAAGAGAAAAAGAGTGGTTTTGTTGCAAAGGAATTTGAGTTGTTCGTAGACTCAGTGTCTCTTACATAAAGAAGTTAAGTTCTTGCTTAGTGTGTGTATACAATTATTTATCATGGTTGAGGTGCACTTAGGCGAGCTGGCAACAGCACTCTGACTAGAATAAGCTGACGATATACCTACAGAATTATAAGAAAAGAACCCACCTCCAAAGTCCTCTTCGGCGCGAGGCACCCATCCCTTCCTCTGTCCGTAGGGCGGCACGCTGGTCTGGGACACGACCAGCGCACTGCCCACTCGCTGCGCTTTCCGTTCATCGTCCCTGTCCCACACTTGCTGCGTAGGCGCTGGCAATAAACTGAAGCAAAGTAGACAAATACAAAATTCTTTATTCAATATAGAATATAAAATATTACTTATTGATAGTCAATATTACACAGAAATGGATTTCATTGTAAAAAGGAGAAATTTGCAAGGCACAATTTTCTCCTTTTTATAACAATTTTTTATTCCTAGTATAAACGCGGCTCGGGCGGGATAAAAAAATAAAAATAAAGGCACTGCCTCGGGGCTGGCCAGGCTAACCACACGGCATGTAACTTTATGCCTCAACGACCAGTAAGTGAAAACAAAATTCGGTCAAGATTTTAAAAAGGTGTTACATGCGTATTGTTAGTCGGACCTCCTGGACAGGAAAACCCCCCAAAAACCTGCCCAGAAGTGCTCCTATTCTAAAATTTACAATTTTTGTACAAGGTTATTGATAAAGTTTTATAGTGTTTTGCTAGTAAGATAAGGCAATTTGGGTTTGAAATATGTTCAAGAAGTTCTAAATCAGGTATAGTGTGTTTGAAAATAAGCCAAAACAAAGAATGATGGCGAAATATGTGTAAATAAATGTGGTAATAAATATTTCGTCGAAATTCGCAAACAACAATTTTTTCTTGAAGCAACTGGAATGGTTACAAGAAATAAGAGGTCGGAAAGACAAGATACAATAAATTTACCAGGAATTCTGGTTAAAATCCTAATTATTTACAAAGAAATAAAATACAACACACCTTGACAACGACGCCATTTTGGTAATTGTATTTTCAATTCAATTTCTTGTTTTTATGGCGTTTCCATTATGATTTCGCCAGTATCAAGTTTTGACGACGACTTTGACTATAATAACGGGATCACAAAAGAACGACGAATATTGTTTTTTTTTTTTTTTGTAAATGTACAGCACGCGACACTCCTTTCCGCTGAGTCGAGTGAATCTAGAACAAAGGACAACACATCACAACACAATACACAACATGAAACATGAAAGGTTAGTAAGGAATTAGTTGAAAAAGCCGAGACAAAAACGTTTTATAACCTAATATTATTAATATTAATGTAACTACTAAGGGTTTTGATAAAGGGAGTATTAACAAGAGAGAGCAAAGACTTAAAATTAATTGGGCGAGCAATATCAGACGGTAAAAGATCATAGAGAGAAACCGGAAAGCGTGAACAACTGAAGAAAATATGATCTAAAGTACCCTCATCCAATCCGCATTCACAAATAGAGGAATCTCTTATATGGAGTTTAACAAGGTGAACTGGAGCACATGAATGGCCTAGTCGCAATCTGCAGATGGTAGATGTTACGCGTTTATTAGCATTGCGATATTTGAAGAACCACGGGACGGGAGATATGGAGCCCTGAATATCAGCAAAATGCTTACCTTTCTGTAAGCTGGATTTTTTCCACTGTTCCTCCCATATACAGAACATACGTTTTTTGGCTAAGGGACTAAGTCTGAAGAGTATACAACATTAGAATCACATCCTGAGATGGTAGCGTCTTTCGCGCAGGCATCGGCAACCTCGTTACCGTGGATGCCACTGTGACCAGGTATCCAAGCCAAAATGACTCTAATATTGTTGATCTGACATTTATGCAAAAGGCTTTTAATTTTTAAAATAAACGGAAATTTTGATTTGGAGGTTAGTTGATTTGCCAAAATAGCTTGTAAACAGCTCTTTGAGTCTGAGAAGATGATAGATTTATCAAGTGCGTGAGATTCAATGTACTGAAGAGCTTCTAGGATTGCTACAGATTCACCAGTAAATACGGAGGCAAAAGACGGGCATTTGAAATTAAGAATAATGCTGTATTTGGGGATCCAAACGGCGGCACCAACACAGCCCTGATCAGAAGTCTTGGATGCGTCTGTGTATAAGGTCAACCAGTCGCTCCAATTCTTGCCTATAAGACAGTTAAGTTGGGAGTTAGCTGAAGGGGAGTCTTTTTCAATACCCAAATCCAGCAATACATTAGGTCTATAAGTAATAGCTTCAAAAGATGTGTCAAAAAGAGGATTAAGTTTGCATTGGAAAACAGGACATGGAAGGCTAATAAATTTAACGAAACTATTGAAGAGACAGGGATAGTCCTTGTGTTTCCAGTATTTATCCGAAGAGATTAGATTAGAAAGAGCGTGCAGTTTAGAAATAAGAGGATGATTGGAGAGCTGAATGGCTTTATAAAAGTACCTGTCAGAGAGATACTGCCGTCTAAGACTTAAGGGGGGTTCTGTACATTCAACCTGAAGGGCATTAATTGGGGAGGATTTCATCGCTCCGCAAACAATACGTAGGCACTTTGATTGTATTTTATCTAAAGTAGTCAACGAGGTCTTGTTACATGGTTCTAACAAGAAAGATCCATAATCCAAGTGACTACGCACTAAAGCATTGTATAACAGTTTTTGGGTATAGGGGTGAGACCCCCACCATACACCAGATAGAGAGCGTAAAACATTAATATTTCTTTCACACTTTTTACTGACATAGTTAATATGTTGGAATCCGGATAATTTGGAATCTAGAATTACTCCTAAGAATTTAGATGAATCTTTAACTGGAACTTCTTGGCCCTTTAAGGATATAGAAACAGGGGGGATTAATCTATTACGACAAAAGACAGTGACATTGCTCTTATTAATCGACAGGGAGAGGCCATGATCTTGAAGCCATTCCCCTAAATAGTGCAAAGCTGAATTAAGCCGAGAAGAAGCGTCATCAATATCCTTTGAAGCAACATACAAAACCAGGTCATCCGCATACTGCAAAATGTCACAAAAAACTATTCACTGAAAGATCAAGATCAGAAGTATAAATGCTGTATAGCAAGGGGCTGAGAACTGAACCTTGAGGAAGGCCCTTCCAGACCGTTCTGGGAGGGAAGAGCTGATTCTGATACTTAATTTGGACTGATCTTGCAGAGAAAAGATTTGAGACAAAATTTACAATCCTTACTGGGACACTCAGCTGTTGCAGTTTTTGCCTGAGTATGGAAAGAATTACATTATCGTATGCAGATGAAACATCAAGAAATAGAGCAACAAGAAATTCCCGTTTAGTAAAAGCTATACGGATATCGGTCACAAATAAGCTCAAGCTATCCATGGTACTAAAGCCCTTACGGAACCCAAATTGACTTTTAGCTAATAAGCCCTTACTTTCTATAAACCATTCAAGTCGGTTCTTGACCAGATGCTCCAAGATTTTTGCCATGGTACATGATAGCGCAATAGGTCGATAACTAGAAGGATCTGAGCAAGGTTTACCCGGTTTAATAATAGGAATGACAATTTGAGTTTTCCACTCCTCAGGAGGAATGCCAGATATAAAAATATGATTAAGAATCTGTAAAAATGTCTCTTTTGCTGAAGAAGATAAATTAACCAAGAAAGCATATGGGATTCCATCAACCCCTGGAGAAGTATCTTTAAGTGCAGATAAAACTAAAGATAATTCCTCCTGAGAAAAGGGTGCGTCAAATTTATCATTAGATGTGACATTAGATGAAAAGGTCAAAGATTCATTGAAAGTGGGCGCTGATGGAGGGCCAG